AATTTTTAGGTTAATGAGAAAATATGCTTAGTGATTGTAACATTAGAAGACAGGTCAGCATGACCTGGGAGAAGGCTTATAATGGCTAGAAGACAAAAGCAGATGTTGCTATAAGTTTTACTGGGGTTGAAGGAGGAGTCCTTGGGCAGGGGATAGGAACAAGGGAGTGCTCAGTGCTGTATGTGGGGGCAGAAGTTGCGGAGGCCAACTGTAGACAGTAATTCTCCTAGGTCTTCACCAGAGTACTTGGCAAGCCTGTGAAAGATTGGGCCATGCTATGCTTCCCTCCCCACCCCCCAAAATCAGACTCTGTGGAGAAAAACCTGCACTGTGCTTGGCAAATGTTTCTTAGAAGATGTCCTAAAGAATATTTAGAAACCACTGACTCACATCCATCCTACACAGTGTTCCGGTCTGCAGCGAATGAGCTCATTCGCTGGTGGAGTCATTAACACACCCGAGAGAACTAAGCACTTTGGAGGCGTTTGGTGTAAGCGGCACAATTAACACTGCGATTGCGTTGCGCTTTCAGGTTAATGATACTAATGGTCAAGCTCTGAAGAAATTGGATCTTGAGCAAGAAAACAATGGAAACAGAATTGCAAAGGATTTCTAAGTTTCAGTATTTCGCTTTCTGTCGTAAACACAGGCCGAGGAGGAAGAGGAAGGAGGGTGGGATGGAATGACAGGAGCATATGAACCCTGTGAACCCAGAGGTTGGAGCTAGGACACCCATGCGTGAAGCCTGGATTTCTGATCTCGTAGCCCTGGCTATCTCAGGTGGTCTGCATCAAACCATGGCTTGGGTGTGATATCATCTTTATGCAGGCTTTGGTCGTTCAGAAGACACCCATTGCTTTTAAGGGTTTAATGGAAACATCCTGCTTAGAATTTGACCTATTTCTTCTTTCTAGCTACACGTGCCCCCTCATACTCCCAGTGTAGATTTGCTCTTGGCTCTGGCATTGACTCATCCTTGGCTACAGTATAGACTTGTCCTTGGCTCTACTGTAGACTCATCTTCAGTTCCAGTGTAGAATCTTCCTGAGCTCTGGCATAGACTGCTCAGCTCCAGTGTAGAATTGTCCTGAGCTCTGGCATAGGCTTGTCCTCAGCTCCAGTGTAGACTCATCCTCAGCTCTGGCATAGACTTCTCGGCTCCAGTGTAGACTTGTCTTCGGCTCCAGAACTCACTACTTTCTTCCCACCTAGCCTATCATGAGTACCTGCCGCAACATGCATGTGGAGACCAGAGGACAGCTTTCAGAAGTTGGTTCTCTTCTCCACAGTATCAGTTCCAGGAATAAATTTAGGCTTAGCAGCAAGCTTCTTTACCTGCTGACCATATCACTGGTCCTTAAAAATTTTAAGCCTAATTTTTTTAAAGATTTATTTATTATGTATATAGCGTTCTGCCTGCAGGTGAGAAGAGGGCACCAGGTCTCATTACAGATGGTTGTGAGCCATCATGTGGTTGCTGGGAGTTGAACTCAGAACCTCTGGAAGAGCAGTCAGTGCTCTTAACCTCTGAGCCATCTCTCCAGCCCCCTAAGCCTAATTTTTATCAGCAGAAAATATTAGTTCATTCTCAGAGGGGTCCTATGGATATTGGCTGTTGTAATCCATAGGAAGTGTGTCACTTCATGTCTGGACTCTTACAAGTGTTCAAGATTCACTCATTTTTCTTCAAGGTATGCTGACGAATATTCTGTCTTGTAACACTTTGTTATCATTGACTATGTAGTCATTTTTTTAGTCTTTTTTAAAATTTAAATTAGAAGCAAGGTAGCTTCACGTGTCAATCCTGGCTCCCTCTCCCTCTCCTCCCATGCCCTCCTATGCCCTCCCACCAGCCCCCCATCCTTTCTTCCCCCAGTCCCCACTCCTTTCCCCAGGGAGGATGAGGCCCTCCATGGGGGATCTCCAGAGTCTGTCATTTCATCCAGGACAGGGCCTAGGCCCTCCCACAGGAGTCCAGGCTGAGAGAGCATCCCTCACTGTGGGATGGGCACCCAAAGTCCATTTGTGTGCCAGGGATAAATACTGATCTACTACCCAAGGCCCCATAGATTGTCTAGGCCTCCTCACTGACACCCACATTCAGAAGGTCTGGATCAGTCCCATGCTGGATTCACAGCCATCAGTCTGGGGTTCAAGAGCTCCCCCTTGATCAGGTCAGCTGTTTCTGTGGGTGAAACAAGCCCAGTCTTGACCCCTATGCTCATCAGCCCTCCCTCTCTGTCACTGGGTTCCTTGAGTTCAGCTCAGTGTTTAGCTGTGGGTGTCTGCCTCTGCTTCCATCAGTCATTGGTTGAAGGTTCTGTTTCCCAGACTATGAAGTCATTTTTTTTTATTTAAACAATGTGTTGAGGGATAAGACCAAGGTGATGAGAGAAAACGAATTACTCAGTCAACGAACTAAATCAACCCTCTCCCTGCCTCTCCGTGTCATTTAGACAAGTGAGCTTTTTACTTGTGATATACATAGACATGGAACACATGAATGGATGGGTAGATATTCAAGGATGATCTTGCAGCGACTGCCCTCATGCCCAAGCGTAACTGACCATGTGTCACCGCTGTGGAGCAAGACTGTCCTCCGTATAGCACAGTCCCACTTGACTGGTTCCTGTGTGCTCACCGGGTCCCTGCAGCCGCTTGTAAGATAGCCACTCAGAGACTTAGTATATGTTTATAATTGTTTAATCAGTGGCTTAGGCTTATTACTGGGTAGCTCTCTCTTATAAATTAACCCATTTCTGGCATACAAACAGACTTTGGCTGCCCATCCCACAATGAGGGATGCTCTCTCAGCCTGGACTCTTGGGGGGAGGGCCTAGGCCCTGCCCTGGATGAAATGACAGACTCTGAAGACCCACCATGGAGGGCCTCACCTTCCCTGGGGTTTGGAGTGGAGATTGGGTGGGGGACTAGTGGGGACCTGGTGGGGAGGGTGGGTGGGGGAGGAGGGAGAGGAAGCTGGGATTGACATGTAAAGCAAGCTTGTTTCTAACTTAAATTTAAAAAAGGAAGAAAGAAAAAAATTAACCCATTTCTACTAATCTGTGTATCACCACATGGCTGTGACTTACCGGTGATGTCTCGGCGTCTTGCCTCTCCGGCAGCTGCATGGCCTTTCCTTCAACCGCCCCCACCCCCCCACCTCTATCTCTTTCTCTGTTTGGATTTCCCATCTGGTTTTACTCTGCTTAGCCACTGGCGGAAACAGCTTTACCCATCAACCAATAAAAGCAACACGCATTCGCAGCACACAGGAGGACACTCCACATCACACTACCTGATATTAAGAGCTGCGGCGTCATGTAGTCGCAAGGACATTTCAGAATGTCTTGCTGCTCTGTGTTTGTGTGCGTAAAAGGGGAAATACACTGGGGTTTGGAGCAGAAGCCCTTATTCTCAGTACTCTGGAGAAGACAAGTGGATTTGAGGCAAGTCTACATAGCCCACATAGCATAGTCTTCATAGGAGGTTCAGGCCAAGCAGCCAGGATTACACAGTGAGACCATGTCAAAAAGAAAAAAAAGAAGTCACAAGGCACAGGAATAAATGCTTCATACAGAGTAGCGAGCTTTTGTCTGTTTGTTTATTGGTGCTGGGGATGGAACCAGAAGGCCTTGTGCCCTACAGATGGACATCATCCCAGCTCCCATGCTGCAAACTTTACAATTTCATTCATAAAGTAATAAATAGGACCAGAGATGTAGATCTGTTGGTAGAGTGCTTGCCCTGTGTGTAGGAAGCCCGAGGTTCCGTCCCCAACACAAACTGTACTGGAAGGGGTTGGTGGGTGGGGAGTTTGGGGGTGGGGTAGTTGGGAAAAGGGATGGGGGTGTCTCTAATAGGGTGTGCTGTGCACCTTCTCAATAGTTCATTTAACAGAATGTCCTGAGACCTGGCTTTGAAATGTCCCACCTCACCCTCTTCAAAAGCCCCTGAAAATAAAATATGGAACGTTAAGTTGGGAGGACAAATTCTTCAGAATAGCAAAGCCCATGTCCTCCCCACTCTTTTTTTTTTTAAAGAGGGGTTTCACTACGGAACCTTGGCTGGCCTTGAACTCACAGAGTCCCACCAGCCTTTCCCTCCTGAGTGCTGAGGTTAGAGACGTGAGCCACCACCTCCAGCATGTAGAACCTGTATGAACTTGTATCTTTTTTTAAAGATTTATTTATTTTATATATATATATGTATATATATGTATATATATGTGTGTGTGTGTGCTCTATCTGCATATAGAAGGGCTCTATCTGCATATATAGCTTTATGTGAGAAACAGGCACCAGATCTCATTACAGATGGTTGTGAGCCAATATGTGGTTACTGGGAATCAAACTCAGAACCTCTGGAAGAGCAACCAGTGCTCTTAACCTCTGAGCCATCTCTCCAGCCCATAAACTTGTATCTTTAGTGCTGTTCTTCTAGGGGACCCTGACACTTGTTGTGTCTCAGCTGTCTGATGGTGTACACATTTTCTTTGGTGTCTGCCTGGAGGTGACATGCTGTGAGTGCGAGCACGTGTGTACACATGTGTACTGGGGCTAGAAGCTCTAGCATCAGGTATCAATTTTTGATCGCCCTCCACCTTGATTGTTTGCTTATTTTTGAGACTGGGTGTTTCGCTCTTCAATTTGGCCAGTGAGCTTCAGGGAACTATGTGTCTCTGCCCCTCCCTCCAGGGCTAGGGTCTCAGGTGACAGCCACCATGATAAGCTTTCTACTTGGGTTCTGGGGGTGTGCACTCGGGTCTGTATGCCTGGGCGGACGGTATTTTACAGAACGGGCCATCTGGTCAACCTGAGATAAGAGCTCGTTAGTGGCTTTTTACTAGGAAGGGACAGTCCTGTCACCGCTGTGTTGCTAGACATTTCTTAGCTCCTAACTGATGGGTTTGGTCATCTGAAACTAATTTTTTTTTTTTACTCAATAAATGAAGACATTTCAGGATGTGTGATGCTCATGCTGTATATTTTTCTCCTTAGGCAGCTGTCTCCTAAAAAAGAAAGAAAGAAAGAAAGAAAGAAAGAAAGAAAGAAAGAAAGAAAGAAAGAAAATATTCCAAATGACCTATAACAGCAGTCTAAACCATTTGAAAGTCCTGCTTGGCATGAATAATAAATAATAATAAATGGCCACGACAGCCTGGCTTGAGCTCCTTTAGAGTGTGCTTCTCCTCCACGCCCCCATCTTCCTCTGTTTTAATAGACACTTGTACTGTAGGTGTTCATGCTTGCCTCCTCAAATATAATTACAAGTCCAGGCTCCAAAGCCTTCATCTCTTGCCTGTTTCCTAGTTCCTTTACCAGCTACTGTTGGATTAACAGCCTGAAATGTCTATGGCATGGTTGCTTAGTATCGTGTGTGTGTGTGTGTGTGTGTGTGTGTGTGTGTGTGTGTGTGTGTGTGTATGTGTATGTGTATGTGTGTGTATGTGTGTGTTTGTGTATGTGTATGTGTATGTGTGTGTATGTGTGTGTTTGTGTGTGTGTATGTATGTATGTGTGTGTGTGTGTGAGAGAGAGAGAGAGAGAAAGAGAAAGAGAAAGAGATACAGAGAGAGAGAGAGAGGGGGGGGGGATGCATGTGCATGCCTGTGTGTTTACATCCAACTTTTGGATATATAGAGGTAGGCAGAGATTTTTGTCAGGAAGCAATGCGTGTCAGAGAATGTATTATCGCTTTTTTAAAAAATTATTTTAAATTTTTACTTATTTACTTGCTGCGGCTCATATTTGAAGGACAAGTGTGATGGGGGTGAGGCAGTCGTGACTCCAGGTAAATACTCATTGCTAGTTCTGCTTCTACACTTTGGACACCCGGTGAGAACCACTCCTGCGATTGAGTGGTTCTCAGTTACACCTAACACCGTCCACCTGACACCGTCCACCATGGCGCTAAATGAAGTTTGTATAGGTTGCTTCTGAAGGCTTTGTATCCATGTCCCAGCTCTTTGACCACATCACCAGGTCAGGGCTGCTGTCTGTAGGGGGTCTGGGCAAGTTTTTGCCATCGCCGACTCCAGACTCCTGAAGGCTGTTTCTCATCTCGGCCTTTCACAGTGTACCTGAAAGGGATTACACTGAAACAGTCTCATCCCCTACAGGCAACAGCAGCAGTAGACGGGACGGGATGCAGGAGGTATCCCCATGAAGTTATCTTGTCCCTCTACAGCATCCATTCAGGATTTGCTTCCCTGGGGTCTCTATGCTCAAGCTCTGCAATCTCCCTGCTTTTATTCTTTCTTTTTTAAAAAAAAAGATTTATTTTTATTTTATTTCTGTGTATAAAAAAAAAGCATTTCGTCTGTATGTAGATCTGTGTACCACATGCATACGGTGCTTACAGAGGCCAGGAGAGGGTGTCAGATCCTCTGGGTTTGGAGTTACAGATGTGAGCCACCGTGTGGGTGCTGGGAACCGAACCCAGGTCGGTCTTCTGCAAGAGCAGCAATTGCTCTGCAACATTGAGCATCTCTCCAGGCCCCTCTCTGCATTTGGTCTTAAATGTCAAATAAGCAGTAACGCTCTGAGACATGAGACACACATTCCTGTGACTCTGCAGAGCTACAGGCTGGTACTAAGGAAAGGTGGTGGCAACTAAAACAGGAGGGAAAAGGAGAACTTAGACAAAAAGGAAAAAAGAAAAAAAGTCAAGATCCGTCTCTAACTCATTTCTCCGTTCCACCTTGTTAAGTTTCCTCTTGATCTCTAGAGCATGCCAAAAGTTCAAGCATAAATAAACCATAGAGAGAGGCCTTAGAAAAAGCCTTCTTCAAAAGAGATGTAGTAAATCTAAGATCTTTTGCATAATGGATTTTGAAAAGAACACGGTGAGCTCAGACGATAAGAGGCGGTGAGAGGTGTTCTTTAAGGGATGAAACAGATTGAAACACATTTGCCCCCTTCTGCTTAAGCAACCTAGCTCTGCGTGACTTTTTATTTTAACAATAAAAGGACCCGAGAGATGGTGGGTAAACTTGACAACCCGAGTTCCATCCAGGATCCATATGGAGAGAACATACTTCTACAGGTTGTCCTCTGACTTCTACCTGTAAACACCCACATAGACACACTCTCTCCTCTCTGTCTGTCTGTCTGTCTCTCTCTCACACACATACACACACAAACACACATAGAAGTAAAAATAGAGTAAGAAAATGATAATAAGAAAAACAACAATAAAGCCATGAAAACAAAGCTTTAGTGTTCAAGGCCAGGACAGTGGTTGCCTCTGTTGTGTATTTATCCAGAGTGGCACAGGAAGTCTGCTGGGTGCCTGGTCTGTGTAGAGGTCAAGGCCTGGTATGCAGCGTTTGCAGGTGTGAAGATCTGAGCTGAACGCTGTGACTCAGAACACTACTACATGCAAGTTACACTTCAACAAATAAGACTTGAACATCAGTGAAGGGTCTACTGACCTCCGTTTTTTAAGGGGTCCGTTTCTAGTTACCCTGAGGTGGTGCTGTAAGCCACTCAGCAGTCCTTGGGACAAATCGATGTTCTTGGGACAAATTGATGAACCGTCCCATGGGGCCTGTGCTTCATAGCCACCAATGGATCTGAAGTGTGTCTGGTCACCCGGCAGTGACTGCTTTTGAACGTGGGTGTTTGCTCCAGTGCATCTGGGACTCCTCAGTATTAGCAAATGAAACAATGAAATCTAAATTGGTTGAAACTGTAGGTGTATTTAGAAATAATCCAGATACCAGAAGATACAGCAGCCAGTTGTTAGACTAGGGCTCCTGAGGACCTGACTTCACATCATCCAGGGTAGCACACGCCTGTAATCCCAGCTCTCAGGAGACAGAGGCAGGAGGATCATAGGCAGCTTAGGTTGCATAATGCTGCCTCAAAAAATAGGGACAGGAGTGTGTCTCGGTGTCACAATGCTTGCTGAGGAATTCTAATTCATCCCCAGTTTGAGAGAAAGATACTTGACTTCCCATCTTCCCGTTTTGGCTGTGTTGCCAGCTTGCTCAATCATTTGGTCCAAGCCACTTGAATATTCCAGACACAATTTTCTTTTCCTTCCTTCCTTCCCTCCTTCCTTCCCTTCTTTCCTTCCTTCTCCCCTCTCTTTCTTCCTTTTTTTGGGGGGTGTGTGATTTTCAAGACAGTGTTTCTCTGTATATCCCTGACTGTTCTGGAACTCACTTTGTAGACCAGTCTGGCCTCAAAATGGGAGATCCACCTGCCTCTGTCTCCCAAGAACTGGGATTAAAGGTGAGCACCTCCACACCCGGCTGACCTCAGTTTTCTTATGAAGTTCTCAACTTGCACATTGTGAGATGTTAACATTTTGAACTGGATCAACTCATAAGAATGTATCAGACATTTGGGTGATGTAATCTTTTTTTTTAAAGAAAAACAAGAAATATAAATTGTAGGGAGAGATCACTTACCTGCAGCTGACCACTTGGGGCATGGTCACGGGTCTGTGGGAGGATTGAGGGATAAGAGACAGTAGAGAAGGGGGCACTTTCTCTCTTGGATCCTGGCCGAGTCTCAGAGACCATAGAGCGCTGACCTGACTTCTAATGTAAGTGATTGTTCTAAGTAAATATCTTAGACCTCCCCTTCCCAATATTTGTTATGTGGATCAGTTCTATCTTCAACAAATGGTTTCTGGGTGGTAGTTGTGCAATCTTTAATCTCAGCAATAGGGAGGCAGAGGCAGGCAGATCTCTGTGAGTTCAAGGCCAGCCTGGTCTACAGAGAAACCCTGTCTTGAAAAAAAACAAAACAAAAGAAAGAAAAAAGAAAAAATGTAGATGGTTGAAACAACCCAAGTAGAAAAAAAAAAGACATTGTTATGGTCTGAATCTGAACCCTCTGCCACAGACTTATGTCTTGTTTCTTGGTGGGTGGCACTATTGGATAGGGGGTGAGTCTATCTGGGAGAAGTGGGCACTGAGTATGGGTCTCACTATGTAGCGCTGGCTGTCCTAGAACTCACTCTGTAGACCAGGCTACCCTTGAACTTGCAGAGATCTGCCTGCCTCTGTCTCCCAAGTGCTGGTTACGAAATCTTCAGGAGATGTGACTTAGCTGAGAGAAATGGGTTGGTTGAGGGAAGGTCTTGGAGGTTACGGCCAACCCTACTTCTGGCCTGAGCTCTCTGATTCCTGATTTGTGGAGACATGAGGTAGCCACACCACAATTCATTCGACTGATTCCCAAATAAGCATGCTTGGAGGTGACTTCTAAGACACTATTATAATTAATTCTTAGTGAGCATCTCTGTGCTTACAAGGAGGTATACTTTTGCAGTTACATCCCGTTTATAAGTCACAGTAGAACTAGTGGATCAAACAATAAGTGTATTTTAAATTTTTGGTAGCATTTGTTTAATTATCCCTCTGTGTTGGCGCAATACAGCCGAGAGTCATCTCACAAGGAAGCCTCGGTTGAGGAATTGCCTTGCTCAGATTGGCTTGTGGACATTTCTGTGAGGGACTGTCTTGACTGTTTGATGATGCTGAAGGGTGGTCCCATTCCTAGGCAGGTGGTCCTGGGCTGTCCAAGAAAGCAGGCTAAGCATGGGTCTGTGAGTGAGCCAGAGAGTGAAGCAGCCAAGCGTGATTTCTCTATGGTTCCTGCCTTGAGTTCCTGCCCTCATGATGATGAACCGTCATCATCACTGTGACCTGCAAGTATAATCCAACTTGGTTCTTTTTTTTTTTTTTGAAAGGCTCTCTCTATTTTTTTTTTTACTACTGAACAAACCATTCCCAACTTAAATATGACCAAATCTCCAGGTTAAAAATGTTGAACTCCATCCTGCAGCATAGCTTGTGTTGACTGCGATTCAGTGCAAACTCTCAATTCTTGCCATTGATTGTGTGAATCCTTATGGGCCCAGCTTGGTTCTCCTCCAGTGTCTTCTCTTGGAGTTGTACCTGGCTTCGTTACCAGTTTTCATCCGAATCCACTGAGGAATAGGGCGATTTTGCTTATGTTTCTTGGCTAGGAATCACGTGACTCTGAAAGTCTTGTGAGAAAACATGGTGAGACACTGACTCAGGTGTACAATACACGATGGTGGAGCCCAACTTGGTTGTGACTGTAGTGGTTTATCACAGCAACAACGAACTCAAACTAGAATACATTCCAAAGAGCTTGTCGGTGTAGCAT